GAGAGTCCATGTAAGTATAACTATTATTTGAAAATTTGTGATGAATTACAATTCTCATGGGCTCCATCTGCTGTCACGATTTTTTTTTTTTCTATTTCTCTTATTGGAGAGGGGTATAGACCTTAAACCCTATCATTTGCCGAGATTTAGCACATTGGAATTGCATATGGAAGTGCAGTTTATTCCCAGTATTTCTTTGTTTGCTGCTACTAAAATGTATGAAAATTTTCACCATGTAATTACCTATTAATTAAAATTTTTTAATGATGTGTCTGTGTTTCTTTTTACATTTAGGCTTTGAAAAGAAATGAAAGTGTTCTTCCAGAATTATTTCAGTGTCATGGAACTGCTGATGAACTTGTCCTCTATTCATGGGGTGAAGAGACCAACAAGATGCTAAAGTCACTGGGAGTATCAGCATCGCTTCATACTTTTCCAGACCTTAATCATGAGTTAAGCAGACCTGAAATTGAAAAACTAAAAACCTGGATTGTAAAGAAATTACCTGTTGAAGCATAAGCACAAATGAATAAATAAGATGCAGCTTTCACATACTTTCTGATTTTTGTAGTTTTAAGAAATGCTTGGCATGTATGTGAGTGTACCATGTACCTTATATAAGCACAGCTTGATGCAGACACTGTTACATTCTATAAAGTTCACTTAAGTGGTGAATTGATGGTGCTGTTAACACTCATTACACTCATTCTGTCATCTGGATTTCTTTTCCTGTTTTCTTGTCCAGTTTTGAAATGCACATTCATGTCAGTCTATGGAAAATAATTACTAATATTATTAAAGCCATTCCTAAATAATCAAAACAGTATTCAGGTAGGATTGACCTTAATTTCCCAGATACCTTTCTTTTTCATTTTTGTGTGTTCTAAGATGGAAAAATATACAGTGTGGTCAGCTTTGCAATAGCATTGGAGCATAAAAAGGCTGCTGTAGTCATTTAAATAATGGACATTTTACTCATGGGAATATATACATATATTCAAGTTACTTCACTTAGAGGAAATTTATTGGCTTCAGTTGTATTTTCAGAATGTGGGAATGAACCTGCATCAAAGCAGAGCTGTATGTCACCTCAAAACCTAACCAAAGTTAGTGGTGAAAGCCACAAGTAGCTGTGTCTAGCTATACCAGAGGCCCTAGTTCTTACTCATTCTCATTGATTTGTTACTCGGAGATTAGTTTTATGCAGGTTGCTTGAGCTCTGTGTGGTTTATAGTGTAGGCTTAAACCCCAATGGATAAAGTGCCATCATGATAGTTAAGTTCTATCCCGTTTTTGAAGAAATCATTCTTTGGGCACCGTTCCTGTAGAAACCTGTTTTTGCCAACAGATTTAGTTTGGCCTGCAAGATAGCATTTGAAATGAAAAGTTGAGGATACTTGACTCCTCTGTGAATATTTAAGAGTTGTAAATAATGATTGTGATATAAAGAAAACTTGTATCCTGTTATTTTAATGGTGGATGATTCATTTCTATGTTATTTTCATAAATTAACTCAGGGTATAAATATCTCTTATGTAATTTTAAGGCTTTTTTTATTGCCCCCCCCCACCTTTCTCCTCCCCAAATTTAGCAATTTTTTTAGCATTATAAGGTATTCAGCCTTTTGCCAAAGCAAATAGATCCAACTCTTTTGCTTAATCTTGTCCCTCCCCCTTTTCTGAAGAGTGGATCTAGGACACTGTTGTTTGCCCTGTCACAGCAGGTTGCTGCCTATACTGGCTCTGACTCCACAAGCCTTAGCCAGCTCTGCTGGACTGAGTTTTATTTGAATCCTCATGCACCTAAGCCAGCTTTTACCTATCTTGAAGAATACGCAAAGGGGAAAAAAATGTCACTGTTCAAGCACAAGGCATGTAATTGGCAGTAGCAAGTAACAACTTCCTGCTGCTAAAAATACTTTCCTTTATTTCATTTTGCTAGCATTAGCGAGTCAGCAGGTTATTCTGAGAAACAGGGTTTTAAATGGCACATGAAAACTCAGCTATTTGAAACAGTAACCAGGCAGCACTTTTTCCTGGTGCCCCGGGCTTCCTAATTACCACAAATTAAATGGAAGCAGGTGTGTTCGGAGGCAGCTGAGCTAATATTGCCTTGGCCCAACTCTAATTGCAATCCTTGACAAGTGAAGTTGAAGGTATTTTAGGGCTAATACATCATTTTGAGGTTTGCACTGTTTTGTGCTCGTCCTACAGTTCCTGTCGGTAGGCTGTTTAAACTGCTAATGCAAGGTGGCAACTCATTTTGGTGACAAGTGCATTCAGATGAGAAAGTGGTGGCCTCCTGGCAAGGTGGCTTTTTGCAAGGTCAGAACAGCACAAAGCAGTTGAAATAAGGTTATGGAGGGAATAGAAATTATTACGAAGCCAAACCCAGTTCTTTTGATTGTTTTTGTAGTGTCTGTAGTTGCAAATACAGAAGATAGAGAGTTTGGTTTTGTTCCCCTGATATAGGCTGAGAAGCAATTTCAAAGGTTTGCATTTCATATCTTGCTTAGAAAACAGTGAAGTCCCCAGTTTGAATCTTTTTTCTTCCATCTTCCTTGGCTTGTGAGTTAAATGCCACCTAATCAGGAGACACTGTGACATGAGATTGGAAAACTGTTGGGTTTATGCTGTAAAGGGGTCCCAAATCTCAGAGTTTTGAGGTCACTTTTGGCATGTTAGAAAACTTCTCAGAGTTTTCTATCAGTAAACAGGTAGCTGCAGTGATGACTGTGGCTTGGGCATAAATGGGCAAATGCCCAGCCTATTTGCCAAGGATTGTGTGGTTCTGTTTCTCAGACTGTGCCTAGCTCAGGTTGAACAAACAGATGAAACTTTAGCCCACAAAAAGCTGGACTGCTGGTTGGTATTGAGAAGCAGCCAGAGGCAATGTTGGTCCATGAAGACCCTGGGCCTGCTGTTAAATTTCTAGTCATATGAAAACTTTAATAGCCAAAATCAGCCCAGGTGCTTGACAGCATGTTTCAGAAGGAATTCAGGTCAGTTTTTGACTGACTGGCCCCTTTTTACTACACTTAAAAAAGCAGCGTACACTTAAAAAAGCTTAAGAAGTCACTACAGCTCCATGATTTATCTTTTGGTTGCTGGGTGGAGTTTGAAGTACTTTGTAGCATCTTTAAGGATTAAAGAGTTTCCTTTTGACTAGGTCATTGCATGTTGTTGGGACAGAGTTACAGTAGCAGAGGCCAGGGCATACAGAGCCCTGAGCTGGTATGTGATATTAGTTGTATCTACTATAGAAAAAGAGAATGGAAAAGAATACAACTGTTTTCATTCATCCCTAGTATTTCAGACCTGTTATCTTTACAGGTGTTTATGTATCATGTGATGATATTAAGGAGATAGATGACATGTACTCTTAAGAGGAGCAAACAACTCAGTTGTCTCTTATTTTTTTCTTTTACATAGGCTTTCTCCTGTTTCTTTCTTACAGATTGAAGGAGAAAAACATGTTTAAAGATACAATCATCGTGAAGAGCAAATTGCAAAATTTCAATGCTAAGCATGGATCTGTATCACTTGAGCTACTGAAGGTACGAGAGCATCAGTAGAACAATGGTGGCTCTGTGCTGATCCAGAGGAGACAGGAGCAATTACCTGGCATGCTGTTTATGTTCCTATTGTAACTCTTTGGGGATTTTTTTCTTTCAAACTTAGAAAAGAGTTTGGCATTTAAGTATGAACTTCTAAAACCATTTAAAAATATAACCAAAATAACTGAGTAAATCCACTCAGATTGATGTTACTTTATTGGAGCTTGGTACTGTTTCAGTAAGCAAAAGAAAACCAGTTTAACCTTTAACTCTCGTGGGCTCTGTTGGTGTGTTCCATACTGCTTCAGAAACAAAGCACTGAGTGTTAGGACTCTTTTCCTTTTTAATTTTCTGACAGTACCCATTTGTATTTCAGGTGTTTGCAGCTTGTGACTAGATCATTGCTTTGAACCTGAGTGCCTTCTGAATAAGTAATGTGCTAGTACAGACATGTAAAGCCAGAGAACAAATGTGAATAAGGCAGAAATTGACTAATCAATGAGGGAAGCCAGAAGTTTTTGGTAACATAATTTTAACATTAAAGTAAGTTCTCAAATTAGTCACTTCTCATGCTAGATCTTTAGCTTTTTTAGTAAATCATCTTTAAAGCCATTTAACAGGTCTCTACAGATGGAGTGAGCCAAGTGAGTGAATATAGCTTGCATTTATAAAGATGAGATCCAGATGGCAAAACACAGAAATGGGAACCTAGTGGATGATGTTAGAATTAAATTTGTTAAGATATAGATGGAGGAAAGCAATAAGAGTTTATTTCCAGTTGAGACACATTCTAAGACAGCTGAGAAGGCTGTTTGGGAGATCTTAAAAGAAAAATCCATTCCATTAGTTTTCCAACTTGAGTAAACCTTAATTTGTGATGCAGCTGGTTAAAGGTGCCCTAGAGAAAGGAAATAACACAATTACCAATTCATGTAGTTTCCTACTTTTGTTTGTTTGTTTGTTTCCCAAACTCCCTTCCATTGTAGGAACCTGATATTGCTACTCAGAAGAAACAGCAGCTAGCAGCTCTCTTTTCAATACCAAATTGTCTGCTCAGATATTTCTTTATACACTGCAGTGGGACTTAACAGCATCCCGTTCATGTCTTGGTTACCAACTGATCAGTAGCACTCGCCGAGCATGTGCAAGACAAGTGCTTCTTCTTGTACAGAGCTGTGAAGGAGAGTATTTGTCTTTACAAATGAGAGCTATAAGAAAAGGAAAAGGCAGTGGCTTTCCCATCCCCATTCTGTACTTCAGTGGCCAGCGTTAGCTAAAGATGTGAAACACCTGGATTTAATTCCTCTGCCCATCTGAGCAAGTTCACCTGTGTACCAGGTCTTAAAGTGTTACCTGTATAGCCAATTTATCTGGTATATTTTTAGTATAGACTGTATTATCATTCAGTAGAATACAGAAGGTATTCCACATTTTCTTTTGCCTAAGAGCTAGGCTGCTTCTCTGTCTTTCTCTGAAGGAGTGTTTAAGTGTTGAAGTGGAGAAGACAGCATCCTGCATCAGTGTGCTGATGACTGGTTTGAGTCATTTCCTGTGAGCCTGGAATACCAGCCTGCATTCTCTCTTGCAGAGGCAGGAAATGATCTTGTTCCCTGTGTCTCGGGTGAGCACTGTGTTTAATGAACAGTTAGATTAATAAAACAATTTCAGAGGAGCCGGTGGCATGGATCTAGTAAAGCCCTTTATTCCCCAGGGCACAGCAGTGAGCCTGACTACCTTAGCTAATGTGCCACCATCGAGACAGGTTTTGTGAGTTTGATTTAAAGTGCAGAAATTCAGCTCCCTTGTTAAGCATTTGAGGGCTGTAGGCACTTCTTTGGTGAGGTGGCAGCTGAAATCTTTTGTGAGTTCATTGTGTAAATCAGTTGGCTCTTTGAAAATACAGGCAAAAGCTGGTTGCTCCTTAAGCCCTCCAAAACAGTTATGAAATGAGCGTTAAGCATTATTCTTGGATCAGTAATGGCTAGTGATAAGGAAGTTAGATTCCTGAGAGCAAAGCCAATGAGACTTTGTAACCTGGGCCTTAAAAGATTGTCAAAATAGACCAGAGAGTATACTTACAACTTTTCCACTACTTCATAAGGCCAGTATTTTGCGATTGCAGGATATCTTGTTCAGGCTTCTTGAAAGTGCTTATTGTTGGGGGTTGAAACTAGATGATCTTAAGGTCCTTTCCAACCCTAACTATTCTATGATTCTATGATTCTATGAATGAGTGTAATACTCTAAAGCTCAGAATAAAAACATAAGCTAATTTATTGGTTGCTTGAGCTCTCTCGGTATAATTAAAGATGTTTTTCAGGATGTATGTAGACATCAAGCACATCAGATAGTTTGAATTAAAGAAAGACATCAAGAGGTGTTACTGTCATGTATACAGCAGTAGGGAATTTATAAAAGTATGAATTCTGCTGCTTCTTGGACTTTAAAACATGCAGAAGAAAATCAGACAGCAAGGCTTACCTGCTGTCATTGCTAATCTTAGTGTAAAAAATCCTTTCTGGAGTGCATTTCAGCCAAATACTGATACTCAAGTCTGTGAATAGCCTCTGCTGCCTTAGAGCCTATGGTTCCCACTGATGGATCTATGTAGAGAGTCTGGCTTCAAAGATTGGGCGAGGCCTTGGGTGATATGATTTAGCATAAAGTGTCCCTGCGCACGGCAGGGGGGTTGGAACTAGATGATCTTAAGGTCCTTTCCAACCCTAATGATTCTATGATTCTATGAGAGTTTGTTTTGTTTAAATTTGGAGGGTTTGGGGTGAAGTTCTTAATGTAGCCAAGGTCTTGTGTGAGGCAGCCAGAAGAATTATGAACCTTAGTTACAGCAGTACACCAAAAAAGCAAAGGCAATGATTTAATGCTTCCAGAGTAGTAAGAATGATCAAATGCTCACCTATCCTTCCCTTCCATGGCTGTGATTTCTAATTGCTAATCTCTAGCCCAGTTAAGGTATGCTTGTATCTGAGGAAGGTCTCCCTTTTGGGTTTACTTTTTTATGACATGTAAGTTAGAGTAATTTGCAGGTTAATGTGATACGCATCCTTCTTCATTTATACTTAAAAGAAAATGGAGCTTCCCTTAATTTTCTTCGCACTGCAGAAATAGCCATGGCTGATGGATAACCTTCTGGACAAGAACTGTTGCATAATCATCAATAGGGCTTTTCCAGATATGCAGCAATTTAAATCAGGTTTATCAGCAGGCCCCTTTTGATTTAAGCTTTGATCCTGCGCTTCTCAGAGAAATGAATGGGTTTTACAGTGTTTTCGCTGAATAGCTCTGGACACCTGCAGCATGTACTAAGGTGATGTGGAGTGCTGTGTGCTAATCTAAAACAATTCCCTCAGTAATGAACTTGATAAAAAATGAAGGAGGGTGCTGCCAGTATTTTCAATAGTATGTTGACATAGTTTTTGGAAACAGTGTGGCCCATGCTTCTGTTTGTGTTTATAATTTAGCATGACTCATACCCAGAAGTCAGAACTGTCCTGGTGAAAAGAAAAGGATGGATATTAAGATTACAAGTGCCCAGGCAGATTTTGTATATCGAAAGTTGACAAAAAAGACAATTTGCAGAGGTTTCAGTAAGTGTATCATTAAATCATCCTTGGCTCCTGCTCAGTTGTTTTTCTAAAATGATGCTTCTCTAAGCAGAAATATAAACATGTGAACCACTGAAGGTGACTTTCTTGGAAGAACTGTTTTTTTTCCCCACCAAGGAAACATATTTTTTTCTGAGATGTCCAATTGATTAGTGCCAGACCAATGGAATTAGTAAGTGAAATCCTCAAGATGTTCGATTGTTTTTATAGCACAACTCAGTTGCCAGTGTTTTTCTATATGTGAAAATATTTGGCAGCTTTGTTGACCAAATAGGCAATAGTATGTGAATTTCACTTTTTATCTAAAGGCCTTTTGGTTTCATGTCTCAAATGTAGGAGTTTGACATTCAGCTAAACCAGGGTAAGTGATTGTCTTCATAACTTCTGTGGAGTGTTATGAGAAAGTAGAGCCTCGTGTCATGCTCAGCTGCATCAGAACTAGACATACATGTTTGGCTTTCCTGAAGGCATTTGCATACACAGCAGGCTGTCAAGCCTGGAATTGCCTGTGTAGGCCTGCTGGCCTCAGCAGCTCTCCCCATGGCCCATGTGGAGACTTAGGTCTGCTCTCCCAGTGTTATAAGCAAGTTCCATCTTCATAGGGGAACCCCCTTCCTATGTTTGGCTTGAGCAGCACCAAGGAACATACACATCGAATAAATTCCCTTCTTGAAGTAATACCAGTACTTTGGTTAAGCCACTGTAAAACTACTGGTATGCATTTGTTCATAGTTTGGAAAATACTGTTTTCATTACAGTAAACCAATATAAACATCAGCAATATTGCTATCAAACAAATTAGTTCTCATGTGAAATGTATGGTGAGTAAATTTGTTATGTAGCTGAATACAGTATTATTTAATGGAACTTGATTTGGTGCCAACCAAACATACGGATCTTTAAATGTGTTCCCCTTGTGGCTGAAATCATCCACCAGTAACATGTGCTGTATTCCCTTCCAGACTTACAGGCTGGCTGCCCTTATTGTATGAGGTTTTGAAATGCAACAAATAGCACTGGTGTGGGGGGAGGAAAACAGTGCAACAATTTCTGTTTTGTTAGTTAGTTTTCAAAAAAATTGGCATGACTAAAACTTTTCTTCTCTCTTCCCCCATCTTTCAGCCTGGAAAAGCGTTATGTTTTATCTTCAGAAGCCATAAAGCCATAAAAGTTCTTCATTCTTTTGAGGATCCATTTCTCTTCTTTCCTTTTTTACCAGGGGAAATTGATAGAAGAGCAAAAGAGGAGATAAATGGGAGGCGGGGAAATGCAGGTAAATCTTTTTGTGCTTGACTTTTTGCAATATTAAAATAATTACTAAAGGAATATATATTTCTGAATAAATATGTTTTTCAGAAAACACTGCCTTTCCTTTTTTTTTCCCTTAGTTGTGACTGCTCTTTGACAGGAAGCTGTATTGGGAAAGCTACTTCAGCAATCACATTTTTAACCACAGAACTTTAATGGGCTAACACAATAGCTGACATTACATTTGCAGCAGAAGTAATAGCATAAATCCTTATGTAACAAACGCTTCTGTGCATACTTATATTGATCGCTGTGAATAGTAGTAATTCAAATCAGTGTCGTTCCCTTTTTGTAGTAAAACATACACAAGTATCAGTGAGTTTAATAGTGTTCTTCTACAGCAGTTAGTGTGTTAAGGTGGGCTCTAAAAATTACTGCACTGTAATTACCTCAAGTCATTTAAATGTAATGCACTGCAATTTCTTTAAAACCTTCCCTTTGCAATTAATCAAATGCTGAAGTGGTGCTAAGCAGGATGGGCCTCATTTTACTTTGTCAAATTCCCTTCACTGCTATAACCACAAGTGAGGGTGCTGTAATGATTTACATGTACAACATCTGCACGCACTAATGTCTCTTGTAGTCAAAATTGTGTTTTGGCTGAGACAATCAAATGGTGAAAATTATATTCCCAGATTTGTGCTCAACATTGCATTCAGGGCTTTGAATGTGTTCTTTGGCCAGACCTGGTAAAAGTTACCTGATGGTGGTGTGCAAAACTTAAAGGCACTCAAAAATCCAGCTCCAGGCACTGGATTGAGACCACCTTAGAGAGATTTGGCTTTAGAGAGCAGCAGGAAAATAAAATGTACTTTCAATAAATAATTAGGATGACCTGTTAATGCTATTGGGAGTAGAGTGGAGTTGTCTGTGCCAGTTCCTTCTGTAAGCTGGTGTAGCTCCTTTGGGACCAGTTGAACCTTGCCAACATACATCAGCCAAGGACCTGGTATGAGTGCAGTTACTTCGGGTTTGGCCCTGTGCCAGCTGAAGAGTTGCTTCTCTTGGATAGTACCTCAAGCAGAGGAGAATGTTGAAGGGGCAATTCAGCAGATGTTGAGGTTTTTTAAACCTCAGGAAAATGTCAGTGAAATGGTGGCATAATATTGGCGGATGGAGAGGGAGCATTTGTGTTGCAATTGATACAGCAACCAGGGGCAAGCTGAAAGGTGTTCTTACTCCCTCAAAAACAGTTGGGGGCTAATTATAGATCCACTGATGTAATGGGAACATTCTGACCCACCATTATTGTCATAATCATAGTTGTAAGCCTGGTAAATTAAAAGGTCTGTTTTCCTTGCTTTCTGCGTACAAATTCCATTTCATAATGTTTTGGGCTATTCTGGGGAGGTTACAGGGCCCTGAAGGTAATTAAACTTACTCAGTCATCAGCAGCTTGACTTGTAACCCACCCAAGGAGTGCTTATAATAGTATTGCTTCATTTTGTTATTTGTCTTGAAAGTTGCTTAGCTGAAGGTGAGATGCAGTCCAGGGAACCTCACTAAAATATTAGAGTTCTGTGCAGCTAATACTGTCTATCTTGTTTAAATCTTGGTAGAAAGGGGATAATGAAGAAGGGAAGCAGTTTGGGGAGCTTGAGTGTTGCGTGTTGTCCTCCTATGGCGAGTATGGAGCAGTGTGTATATGGTAGTGGTGTGTGTTGTGGGGCACCATCCGGAGCAGGACCGAGAACGGGGGCATCTGTATTTCTGTGTAAATCCAGCTAAGTCATCACACGTTTGCTGACACACAGACTTTGGGTACTTTTTTTTTTTTTTTACCAAGTGAGTCCACCAAGTCTGTCTGCAGTGTTAGGCTTGTGTTTCTGCAAGAAAAATGTGGCTCATGTCTCAGGCTGTCTCTAGTGGCAATTGATTCCTGAACTGTTTCAAGGCAAAATCAAACTTTCAGTGTAGTCTGTACTGTCACAGATGACTTAAGCTGATTTGGTCAACTTCGCTGTCAAACAGTTTTGAGGTACTCAGCCTTTGTTCTGTTTGGACTTATCTGGGAAGAGAAAACTAGCCTTTTGCCAAGGTGTTTCCAGATTAAAGCCCATGTCCACTTCGTGCAGGTGATGGTTTGGACTCAAGAGTAGAACTGTAGAAGAAGTGGGAACAAAATGCTCAAGTTTCTTCTTCCTGCAGGGTTGGGTTTGGCATACGGATGACAACGTCCAGTCAGCATCACAGTAATGAGGGCCTGGGAATGAGCTATCAGGTTGGTTAGCTGTGAGTAGGTTATGATCTTGCCTGTTCAGTCAGAATTAAGCTGGACTTTACTTGCACAAGCCAGATGCAGAGACAAAACATGTAGGTCTTGAGTTTGGATCTGGTGTTGCAACCTGAGTTACACTGAGTGAGGTGGTATGATAGCAGTATGCATGGGTGAGAAACAGTCCAGGAAGATCTGATCTCCTAGGAAGAAAAATTATATGCATCACTCTTTTCTTGTGGGGTCTGGGATGGAGTTGTTGTGGGGTTCCTTTAAAGGATCAAAAGTGATGTGTGTGTTGAGCCAGGATAGAGTTTGAAGCTGACAGTACTTAGAAAGCAGGTATCTGAGGTACAAGCATGATGCAGTCCAGTGAGACATGGTTGGAGAGGGTGAGGGAGGACAGCAGAGATGGTGAATAACCTTCAGAGGAGAGACCCTGGGGGCCATAACCTCAGTTCAGAGAAGAGGTAATACTTAGAGGGGCCAAAAGGGGAGCAGAAAATATCAGAAGCTTTTGAGAGGGGCAGAAGGTTGTGATCTGTTCCCCAGCCACCACTTGGAGATAAGCTTCTCTTTAGGAAAGAATCAGCAATCTTTAAAATTTATGTGATGTGTATAAAATGAAGTGCTTTCTCAGCTGATCCCTTAGCCAAATGTAAAACAGTCTGAAGCTTTTCAAAGCTTCGTAATCTTTAAAATTATAAATCAGTGTTTTTATACTGTATTGAAATGGCCACAAACTCCCAACCTTTGTGATAAGCTACCACAAAAAGGACTGGAAGCCAGCAAATATTTCTTGTTAATAATCTCAGAAGAACAGAAGAAACTGCTTTTTTTTTTTTTCCCCCCAAAGACTGAAAAAAATGATTCCCAAATTCTGCTCAAACTGTTGATAACTCTTGTGCTTTGGTTAATTAGGGAATAAACCTTAAGGTTGTTCTAAGAGTGCTGGTTAAAGACACTTCAGATTATGTTAGTTGAGCAAAGTGAAACAAAACACTGTAAAAAAGAGAAACTGCTCGCTGTAGTTTCTTGGTCACAAGTAAAATGTGGTAAGTAAACTGGGTAATGGAATAAATGCAGAGCTAAAAACTCTTGCCATTTTGTGATATATTGCATAAAGCTGTGGCTCATATAGAGTCATAGTTATGTGAGAATTTTTGCTTATGAGTGTATCAGCTTTCTAGGCTGAATTTCAGGGAAACTAAAAATATGCTCTAAGAGCTCTAGAAATACAAAGGAAAGGGAAAAAACCCTTCCAAATGATACTTAGTAAAAAAGATAATGTGGGGTTTTTTTAAGCTTATCACACAACTTCAGAGTGTGTATCTGAGTGCTGTATTTGAGTAAACTGTATTTGAGTGCTGTGTTTCACCACCAACTTCAAAATGATGATCCAGCCTCAAGAGAAATATTTGCTAAGTAATATGACCAGGTCAAAATGAGGGTGATTCCACTGCATGATTTCACTGCCATGTGAATTTACAGGCATGTAACTTAAAACCCCATTCTTGCAGATAAACTCAATTTTTTTCTTGCTGTTTGTGAAGTGAACCTGGAAGGCATCTGGTCACCATCCTCATTACATTTTTGTTTCTTCATATTGGGAAACTCTTGCCACTTATCCCTTGATTTCTGTTCTGACATGAAATCTAAGTTCCTCAGTCTTTATGTCATGTTTTGTAAGTCTGTATAATTTTTATTGTTCTTCTGTGGTTTAATCCTTTTTTAACACATAAGGCTCAAATTTGGTATTCTGGGTGAGACCTTGCCGTTGCAAAGCTGCACAGAATAGCTACTGCCTGTCTCTTAGGAGCAACTCAGCTGGCTCAGAAATAAGCAAATTCAATTTAACTCTCTCCTTCAAAAATAAAGTGGGGGTGGGTTAGAATTAGGTTTTGGGTGGGGAGATTTTATTTCTAGTTTCATCCCAAAGCAAATTTCTATGGCTGAGTTATAAACCCCTGAAAATTGCAGTTCATAATGGAAACATTGGCAGACCCTGAACGCCGCCGCTGTAAAGTAGTACGAAGCTTTAAGTTTTTCCACTTTTAGACCTGTAATATAACTAAATTACAACACTTTCCATACAGACATTTGATTTCACCCCCAGTAATTTCTGCTGGATCTCTCCAGTGATTCCTGACTTCCTGTGTTACCACTGGACTTTTTCCTATTGACTAGGCAGTTTGTTTCATTCAGTCGGTAGATTTACCAATGGAGATACCCAAAGCATTGTTTACTGGGGCAGAGGGCGCTAGGAAATGCAGTGCTGGCTTGAGGAAAGTTACAGTGCAGATTTATGGAAGGAATTTACAGCAAATGGGGCTGGAATGAGTATTATGGGATTCACAAAATATGTGAAATGATAAGGGTCCCTGCAGAATAGAAATGTTCTTCCAGACTCCATCCAAGCCCACTGACAAAGTGGATGCAAAGGCACTCTTAAGAAGGGAATATCAAGATTGTTTTCCTTTCCCAAAGCAGCAGAAATAGAGCAGCAATGTGACTTCTTACAGCACTGCAGTATGCTAGGGTATTCCAACAGGAGCAATTTTATGTGAAAGTGGATGTGAAAGCAACAGGGAGAATGGAAGTCAGCAAGTGGACAGGGCTTTTTTCTGGAATTATTCCTGGAGTCATTTCTCATACTGGCACAGGCTGCAGGAAGTCAGACATCAACGTGTGGGTTATTTATAGCCATTTTCTAGCTGACTTCAGTGCAAATGATCTGTTTAGCTACTTCAGTCCTTAGGGCAAGAGTTGCAATGCCACTCATTTGGCCCCCATGGCATTCCTCTTACAAATTACGGAATCAGGGCATAAATAACATA